ACAAATGTAACACTGCATGTGAAGCTGGATTTAGGAAGTGTTTAAAGTTACAGAACATGTTTAGCGCCATCTCTTGCCCGTACAGAACATTACATCACTGGGATGGTTGGTTGGACCACTGACTGCTTAAGAGACAGAGTGAAAGTGGACAGTATATCCTTGATTTCTTAACATAAAACATTGTAATAGTCAGGTGAAGATTAGTTAGAGGTCTTTGTTAAGGTGCATAGATGAATCTAACACTCAGTGGTGTGAATTTAAAAAAAAAAAATCTGAACAATGATTTTACAAAATGTACCTTTAAATGTTCTTGTTGTTGTTGTTTGGAATATCTTCAAAGTCAGTGTTTAGCTCATTTGTGTGTGTGGTTGTCTGGTTGGTATTTTTTGGGTGCAAATTCTTCCTACCAGCGACAACAGTCCAACCAATCACAAAAATGTTGTTAAATTAAATAAACCCTTATTGTGCCGACACGTTGAAGTTTCCTGGGCCACATAAACAAACAGGCAGGTAAACACAGAGGCAGATTAGTCTAAAAATCTTCCTCCTCCATGTCTCTCTGTCAGCTTCTGTTTTCTTCTAGTTGACACGAGTTAACACACGGTCGCCTCACCCAGCGCTCGCTCTGCCCTCCTGTCACCTCCCGTCTTCTTCTGGGTGCTGAACGCCGCACTCTGAGGTCGCTCTAAAAATAACCCATCAGCAAGAAAACAAAAGGGGAAGTAAATGGGCTTACTAGTGATGACGCCTCCGGAGAGCGAGGCCAGGAAACCCACGCTGACCAGCACCAGGGTGATGAGGCGTCCCCGCTTGTGGCGCTGCAGCATGACTAACATGAGCAGCCCCACCGCCCCGTGGACGAAGAGCGAGGAGAAGAGACACCACAGGAAGACCCAGTACCACATCTCTGCAGGGAGAGAGAGCCAACGACACAGATCAGATACAGCCTGAAAGCACAGGATTTACCGCTTACATTAAAGGTGCTCTACGTACAATTTAACTAAAGCTTTCACCAGCAGGGGGCAGTGTGCTGAAATGTTTTCTCATCTAAATGCTTTTTTCTTTTACTCGCTGAATTAAGGTTAAACTGACCACCTGCACCATCTATTATATTATAGTGTTATATAAAAGTACAGCCCAGCCTCAGAAGTTCAATATCAGGTAATATCTCTCGAGCACAATGCGTAGTTGCTCCAGATAGAGTATAAGTATAGCACATAGTAGTATAAGTATATACTACAGTACAGGGGTTCTTAATGTAACAACTGCAGCAAATAAATTATCGATTCGTTTCATAAATATTAATCAGACAATTACATTTTTTTTTTAGCCTGAACATCAAACATGGCAACAAATTAGAGAAATCACCACTTGCACTGAAATAAATATTTTTACATTTTCACATTTTTTTATATTTACTGGTTAATAACAATGATGATGTATAACGATAGTTACTGCAAACATAAACTTTTTGTTCCTATTTCTTGGTTTACATCACCACTTTAAAATCAGTCAGCTGGCACATTAAAGTAACAACAATCCCCTATTCCAATATATATGACGTTAACAGAGTACTTTTATTTCTGGTGAAGCATGAAATTAAATATCGATCTGAGGAACAGAAGCAGCTTTCACTTACAAAATGAATTATGAATTGTTTACCAAAGAAACCATCCTGAAACAGACTGGTCCCAGCTTTTAATGTTTTTATGTGTTTCTGACCGTTTCACAGAGCATATATAAAAGTCGCCTCCTGCTGGTCTGTAAACAGAAAGCACGTTTAAGGCTTCACTTTTCTTTTTTTATACTTTTACAATGCTTTTCCTTGTGTTGGAGCACTTTAACACAGTTGTATTGGGACTTCTGAATATTCCTTCCACCATTATGGAGCACAAACACAGATGGATGACCTCGACACCCACCGAGGACCAAATGTCAATGAAATCTGCCTTAAGTGGATAAATCTGTAATGGTCATACAAAAAACTCTGGCCAAAATAACATTTGAATTCTTAGTCAGAGGGAGATCTGTTGCACTTCTTGATAAATTACAAGCTTGATTTAATCTAATTAAGTTTTAAAGCAGTGATCGTGTCCATCCTTGATGTACGGTGATTTGATTTTACATCACAATGATCAAAACAATGATGCTGGGAAACTTTGATTTAAGCCCTTGTGATTTATTTTGCTTCCTTTATTTTAGTGAAATATTACGTCTGCTGCATTTACATATAAAGGTCAGCTTTGGTTTGCATAACGTCGATTACACATGAAACTTGAAACAAGACTTAAAGACAACAGATTTGTAACAGAAAACCTGCTTTATAGATAAATGCTGCTTATTTACTACTGCAACCTGAACACAGACAGAAGCAGGGGCTTAGTGGGATATCTGTACATCAGCTGCTTTAATTTTTTTAACCATCTCAATAAACTTTATCCCAGCTTTCAGCAACAACCTCAGGTTATAAAACAATATACAGTCAATAAATAAACAGCAAATATACAATAAAAATCAACAAATAAAACAAATTAAATAAGGCCGTATTTGCATCAGGCTATCCTGCTCATCTAGACCTGAAAGAAAACAAGAATAAGCAGTTGTTTTAAAATGACTGAGCTGTATGTGAGAAGTTTGGTTGTTCCAAAAGTTAGGAGCTGCCACTAAAAAGACTTTGTAGACTTCGCTTTTAAGCCTGGACTGGACTATCTGGTCAGAGGCTCCGAAAGTTCTGTTAAGTGAGGTGGCACCAAACCAATAAGACTTTTAGTGGACAGGAAGACAGTGTAAGGAGGCCAGAAAAGGTGCGATCACCATGTTTCTTTCCTGTCAAAAGGCGAGCTGCTGCATTTCCTACAGCCTGCTGACAACGAAGTAACAACTGATCAGAGCCGACGTATAAAGAGCTACGAAAGTCTAAGAGAGGTAATAAAAGCGTGAATTACTGTCTCAGAGTCAGGCAGTGGTGGGAGGCAGGCCTTCATCTTACTGAGCTGCATTAGTGATAAAAATCTCTTCTGAACAAAAGAGCTTCATGCAAACAAACGCCGACAATAAGTGATCCCGAGGGGGAAGACACAACTTATAATATGCCGTTCTAGTCTTGAAAAATTCACATTTACTGCTTATAAAGAGTGCTTCCAAGATGAAACACTGCAGCTCAGCCAAGATGCAGAGCTACAGCCGCTGCTGCACGTCTGTGAGGCGAGGGGAGGATTTCACTCTACAGCAGCCATCGTCTAAGTCAAGCCTCATCAAAGAGGCAGCCGACCGTGGCGATGGACCCGTGGCGGAGATGTATAAAACCGCTCAGAGCGACATTTCAGACAGCGAGCCTGACATGAAGCGGTAAATGGAAAATCTCGTCTGAAACAATAGCGTACGGCCGCCTTTTGTGACCATCCTGACTGGAGATAAGCTTTCTGGAAAAAAAAAATGTAATCGTAGAAACAAACGTCTGCAAACTAAAAATGCTGATAATTCCTAAAATGCCAGCAAAATCATCTAATTAGCTTCCACCAAACACGACTGTTCTCCTAGAATACACATAATGCACCCTGCAGGGTCCAGACTGTGCTGCCGTTATAACGGACTCCACTGAAAATGAGAACAGTAAACAGCATTTAAAAATCACACTCTTCCTCCTCCTCCTCCTCCTCCTCGTTCTCCCTGTCTTTCTGTGGCACAGGCCAGCTTTGTCTAAAAGGCTCCGGCTTCATTGCACTTTGCCAGCGAGGGGCCTTTGGTTGAACCCCTGGCACCGTGGGAGCCAGAAGGAGCCAGCTGGCCGTGAGATAACTGAAGAAGAAAAGACACCAAGCGAGAAAGGATGACCCAGCCGAAGCATGGCAATGCTGTCTGTGTGTGGGCGCGATGCAAACAGGAAACGTGACATTATTTTGCAGTGTAAACATCACAACACCCAATTCTATTACCAAGTATTTCTCAGAGCTCTGGGACACGAGGACCTCTTTAGCATATCCATTTAACCGAGCTCCTCCACAGTCCACTGACTGCCTACATCTACTTATTGATCCGGCAGGCGAGCGCCGGGCCAGGCGGAGAGAGACGTGACAGCGGAGTAACACAATGGCTTTTTGTCTTAAATGACTGAGCACGCAGATCACGCTGCAGTGTATCCACTGCTGTCTTTCTGCGAGCATCCAGCAGCAGAGGAGAGAGGGATATCTGTGATGGGACCCAAGAGTTAAGAGAGACACACATTCAGAAAGTACAGGGAGAGAGAGCGCCGCTTAACTGTAGCCCCCGACGACACGAATCAGGATTCAGCATCGTGTAGAGAGAGCCGGCCTTTAATGCAGGCTGGAAAAGATGAAACTCAAAGATCCTGGAGGAGGTTATGCAATGCTAACATCATCGCACACAGACTGTGATATCGCCCACTCGGTCAAAAGAACTACAGACATCCACAGGTTAAACAGACAATCACAAACACCATTCGTTTATGTGTAGTTAAGGGAATGAGTTGGTTAGCAGAAGTCTGAGAAAAAGAAAAGAAAAATGCGGAGTTCAACGTAACTAACGGTGAATGGCAGGTAAGCTGATTGGCTAGCAGCTGGTCTGTTTCCCCCGAGAGGCAAACTGGATGAAACGAGTCCTCGCTAACGTGCAGTTCTGTTTTTTCAGTTAGTAATGTCACATTAAAATCAAAGCCTGCTGAGACGGTTTAAATGTGAAGTGCTTCGTAATAATTTTGACAGTAACCAGCCGCAAATGCTAGAAGTTTCTCCTCTAAACCACACGGTTAGATTCAATATGTAAGGGTTCAGGGTTCAGTGAGATCAACTTCGCCAAAAATTTCACAAATGGAGAGGACAGCTGGGATACTCTGTGTTTCTACTTACTGATAAAATAATCCGTATAGTCTTCCACCATCACTGATGGATGGAGCCTGACCCGGACACCTACTGAGGGCCAAATGTCAGCGTGATCTCTCTTCTGTAACAATTAACCTGTCATGCTGGTCAGAATAATATTTAATAGCATAGCTGGAGGAAATCTGTTGCATTGCTTGATGAATTACAAGCTCGATTTAGAGAGAAAATGGGTCGGGTGAAATGTTCAGTGGAGACACGAGGCTCGTTATTTATCTCAGCCGACTAAAATTATCCATGGCAGCTAATTTTTTTTGCATTGCAGCAGATGCTGGAAGGTGAGGTGCACATTTAGTTTCAGGGGACAGCAGGCAGCGCAGGTGGTCACGGCTATGAAGAAGCACCTATGGGGTGAGAAATGAGTGCAGTAAAGTGCTGTGTCATGTTCAGAGATAGGAGCGAACACAGGCTAAAACACAGTGAGAGCACAGTATTAACTTCTGCTAATCCGCAACTACAGGCCGAGGTCTTTGTCAGCACGGCGGCTTTAGAGCTCGCCTGTCAACAGGACAGAATTTTTGAAAAGCAGGGGCTCGTGTATTTGGTGCCTCGTCAGAGGTTGGAGTACACGGGCGGCTGCAGAACATGAACCATTCCCGTGTTGAAGCCGCAGCTTCTCGAAGCAGAAGGTTGCCGAGTTCACCTCTCAAGGCGACGAAGGATGGGTTTGTCCCAACGTGGAGAGAGGGAGAGCCAGCCTGACACATCTGGCAGTGACTCTGTCCCGTGATACAGAACAAGAAGAGGATTATGCTAATGTTGATTTCGGATGATGCTTCTTCTTTTTTGGAGGACCGAGCTAGCATGACATAATGCAATGTAACGTAAAGTTATCAGGTAACAATATAGTAAACTTGGTTAGCAAGCAGTATCGTTAAACTGTACACATGCACCACACAGAAAAGCATACCTGCTAATTAGTGCAAAGTAACAGACCAATAAGATAATGCCATTGCAAATGCTCCAAAAGGCACCAACAGCACAAACATGGCAGTGGAGGTGAGGCCCAGCAGACTGTGATCAAATCCAGGTGCCTTGGGAACGCCTGTCACTCAAAGCGACCACGATCTTCACTTTAGCATCCAGATGCATAAATTTATTTACAAAAAGAAAGAAAGAAAATAAAATTTAAGCCTGTGTTGATAGTTATGATGTGGGAAAACATCCACTGAGGCTGTAAAGATGCTTTTAATGCTTTAAAGTTTATTTTAACACAGGAGTCTTTGGGGATTGACTTGTTTTAGGAGAAAGCCTCAAGTGGCCACTGGAGGAACTGCAGCTTTTGCCACTTCAGCATTGGTGCAATGTTTTTAAATCATGAAGGTTGCTGCTTGGCATTCACACAAAGCTTTAACTTCTAGTATAGCTGCATGTGCCCATACATAGACTCGATGCTTTTATCTGAACCTGCTAAACTCTACTATACCTTCTGTTTAGTTCTCTGCCAACTCCTGACAGAAATATCTGGACCTTTAACCGAGCAGCCAAGTTGCGCTTTCTGTTTTTGTGTGTATGTTTTACAGCTTCACATGAGCTCTTTTTGCTTTTGTGTGCTTGTTTGCAAAGAGATAAAGGCTAAAGCAAACAGCTAAACACCAGACATGCTGAGCTAAAAAGCTGCAGACAAGAGAACGTGCAGAGTGAACACAACTGATTAGCTTTACACGAAGACCAGCAACACAACATGTTACCGTGTGAGATAATAAAATGACTTTTTAGCAATCTGATCATCGCGTAATCACAGCAGGCAAACAATTAAAACTAAGAAAGCCATTTGACATTATTATCGTGAACTGATAATACAGGATTTCTGCAAGTCTATTGCAAGTTCATTAACCCGCTGGGTGTCAATTAACCACCCCCCAAGTAGGCTAATGCATTGATTTTTTTTCTTTTTTTAGGCCCAAGGTTGGGAAAAACTTCCAAAAAAGGGATTAAAGCGCAAAATAAACATGATGTTGTATGAGTTTCCCTGTTCAACCGATATTCATACACTTATTTACTCTAATCAAGACAGGCTAAAGCTCTCATTGCTGTAATAAATGAGGTTAAATACATTTCAGTGCCCTCCAGCTGGTAAATATCTATGCATATGCAATGCATTATGCTGGCGTCTCTCTGCTCTTCCTCCTCTCTCCTCACGAGCTGCACATGAGCAGCTCTGCTGTTTTGCCTGCGTCGCCACACAATTAGCAATCGGCAGATTAACAGCATCTGGTGCACGCTGGATTAAGAACTGGATATTTATCTGATTATCAGATTTCTAAAGTTACACACTCTGACATCGGAAAGGTCTGTGTGTAAATGGCACTTCCTTAAATGCATCTCAATCGTACCACAAATCCCACAGATAGATAATAAATGAGTGACAAGAACAGCATGTTTTTATTGACTGTGATTCATCAAAGTGAGTCAATTTCAAAGTAGCTGTTCACATTTAAATATGTTCTTTTCATTGGTTTTCTGAAGTGAAACCGCCTGCTGCGCACGCCTCATAAACAGGAAGCACTCCCCAGGGGCACAGATAAAAGTTTATCTATCCGTTCAGGGCTCCCCAACTGTCCCCCCTGACATTCTTTAATGTCTCAGGAGGTCGTTTTTCACCTGTCTGCTGAATAGTGGGGTTTAGGAGGGGGTCAGGTGGCAGATTTGTGAACAGTATTCTGTAAAGCCCCGGGGCGTTAGCTCCTCACAGCTCTCTTCTCGCCGCTGCAGCTCAGATACCACAAACTTCTACATTGCACTGCAACTTCCTGCTGAGTCAGCGTGATCAACTGTGCCTTTTTTTTCCTTCCATCCCTGCATGATGTGTTTCTCAACACAGGATGCCAGCTGCATATTAGACAACCGGTCTGTGCCAAGCCAGCCATGACTACACGTCCGGCTCCTCACTTTGCAGAGTGAAATGCAAGAATTTCTATAATCTTGTGTTTGTGCAACACACACGGTCTCCTGTCCACTTCCTCAAAAAAAGAAAAAAGAAAAGTGATGACAATGCTTTGAACAGCTGGCAAGTAATAATATTTCTTGCTGAGGAAGTTCATTCTGCTTGGAAAGAAGAGATAAAATGCCCACACATTGCTTTTTTTGGTGCCCCGTGATCTGTTTTTGTGTCATAGGAACTTTCATGCATTTCTTCCACTTTTCTTAAACCTCCTTACAAATAAAAAAGGATGAAGAAAGTCATCTTGTAAGCATTTTGTTTTGGTACAAAGCACATAATTGATGGCAGCAGCTCAATCATCTGTATCAACAAGTGACAGTTCAGCCATCAGCCCACAGAGATGTCCTCATCTGGTATTTACAGCTGCATATTACCTTTAGTATCAAAGCAGACATGCTCTGGCTCAACTGCATTCACATAAAACAGGGAATTTAACTCAGCCTCACTACTTCTAGAGTCAGGACCATCCCAGACAGCATCCCTGCCCGCTCAGAGGACCCTCCCTCTAATTGCCCCTTTACTGAAAGACAAAGGAGGGGGAGGAGGCCACACTTACTACGCATTCACGAAGCAGAAAGATTAATTAGCCGAATGTTGTCATTATTTTTCCTGACGGACTCTGCACGCCTGAATAAAGGAGTGAGATTTTGTTTTGTTTTGTTGATGTTGTGGTTCAGGCCCAGCATCACCAATAAAACACACCAGCTTGCAGAGACAGAGATGGGGAGGTGGGATGGAAAGGTGGCACACAGATGTCCCCTATGCATGACAGCAGCCATGCCCTTCCTGCTGGCTGCAAGAAAAATGACCACATATATTTGAATGATATTTATATATATTCTTCTTTAAAAAGGAAGCTGCACATGCTGCTGGTGGTGATGACTTTTTCACTGAACACATTTAAATTAAAAAAAAAAAAATGAAGCAGCAGAATAGCGGCACCTTTCATTCCGCATACCTGTGAAGTGGTGCAGCGCCGAGCCTTGCACCCAAAGGCTCAGCACTTGCTGCACCGACAGATTAAGAGAATAATCCTTGTCCGTTGTCATGTTTCCGCCGCCGCCGCCGCCCGGGTTCGCACCCCTCTTTATCGTATAGCTGTACTTGGCTTTAAACGAAGGCATGGATGAGGAAACCGGGGTGGCATTTGGATGTGAGGCGGCTCTCCCCGGCGCGGCTCGCCTCTACCGGTGCCTCTGCTTCGGCTTGACGTCCGTCTCCGCTCCGGGAAGGGAAGGGTCGATGGCTGGTCGGTTCATCCTCGGTGGTGGTGTCGGTGGCGGGTGTACGGAGGCCATGACGAGGATGGCAGCGGGAGCTCGGGCAGAGAAACGCACGGTCGGCTCGTCCTACATCAGCTAGCCCTGCTACATAACCCTTAAAGGGCCAGCGGTCCTTTTCGTGCGAGGGGTTCACGGTGACACATCCCCGTGCTCGTGAAGCCGCTTTATGAATGAGGAACAAAGGACAGCACGGTGGCGTGTGCGCAGAAAGCGTGCGTAGTGCGATGGCGGCTCGGGACGGCTACGAGTGGGACGCTGTAACGTAATTACGACGCACTGTGACTAATATTAGGATATTAATAAAATACTAATAATAACATCAGCAATATTTTTGACAAAAGCTAAATATAAATATCATTTTAGACGCTGTAGAAAGATTTAATGTTTTTATTTTAATTTTAATTTTACGTTATACAGTATTTGCCAGCAGGAAGCGAAAGAGTGGTTGCTAGGCAACGTAATAACGTTAGCTCTTGAACGAATAACCAAATCAATGCTAATGCTAAAGACTACTTTAACAGAGAATATATTGATAAATACCATATATACTAAATAGTATTATTTGTTGATTTATTAATGTTTATTTTATTTCAACTGTTGTGATATTAAAATTAAGTCTACATTAAAATTAAATGACCTTAGAAGCAGCGTTGGTCATGACGTCAGTGGAAGGTGGCGCTTATTGGTCACCCCGAAACACCTGATATAAAAAAGTAATATGACAGGATGAATGTAAGCAGAGGAATAGAGGGTATTAGTGGCAGGGTTATCTGGTAATATAAAGAAAGAACCCCTAAATGTTTAAATCTGATTTAGAGCTTTAACTTAGATGGAATAAAATATTCAGAAAACTCTGTGGTGAGGCAGTCTGACAAACCTAGTAAGACAGAAATCAGAGCAGGTGAAAGCTATTTTAAAAAGTGTGAACCTTTACACAATTTTTTTTATCCTCATCATCATCTCATATCAGATGTTTTAAAAAAAAAAAAGAAGAAGAAGATAACAGTGTGATATGGGGAAGCAGGGAGGGAACAAGGTGTTACGTGGACGCTGAATGTTCTGGCACATTTCTCTGAGGAGCGCAGTATTTTAAGACGAACTGTCCCAGTTCAGAGGTACGAGGGCGAGGAAGCGTCTGACATCTGACATCTTTTAAATCTGTAGATCTTTCTCTAAATGCAAATAGAGGGGGGAATAAACAGACAGCTGGATCACGAGGAGATTCGTGCAACAAAAGAAAATACAATTACAGGTACTGTTAAAGAACGTTCACTGTAGAGGAGACAGGAGGCAAGTTTAACACTTTATTTACACTTTCCTCCAAAACAGCAATTTTTTTGATACACATAAGTGTACTAGCTTAAATCAGTCTATATGTTTATTATGCATCCACAAATAAGGACAAGACTAAAACTCAAAATTAACAAGTCATAGCAGGCAATTTCAGCTGTGATTAGGTATGACGAAAGCACAGTCAGTCGTTTCATTTCAAATCAAGCCAAAATAAGTAGTCACATTACTTCTTTAAATCTAGTCATGTCACATTTTTGGATATATTTGTTTTAAATGATGGTTTTTGAAAGGTAACAAGTTATCCTTTTGGTTCGCTGAGTCTGTACTATAGTGCACAGTGTACTATAAATTCACTGATATGACCAGTGACAATAAAAGAACGCTTGCTTTTGCTGACTTTTGTATTGCCTGGGAGCTTTGGAGATGTCACCATAGTTTTGAGTAAAGTAAAATTAACATTACATTCAGAGTCCAGCCAGAACTTCATACATCTGATAGAGAAATTCCTCTACAACATGGCGATTTAACTGTAAAATTAATATGGATGATTCATATGAATTAATAGGAATGGTCAGCAAACAGTTGGCAACGAGTTAATGCTGAGTCCCTACTGCAAAGAGATGTGCAACAATACAGACTGATGCAACAAGGTGGAGCTTGTCAGCAACAAATTTTCATTATTACCACCTAGAAGTTGCGTGCTATGTATTAGCCTTTAACCATTTGCTTACTGACTCAGATTTGCTGCAATATTTTGGCAATCTCTCTGCATTTCTAAGTTAGACAGTAATTAATTTCAATACAATTTAGTTTTATTTATACAGTGCTAAATCACAACAATAGTTGCCTCAAGGCGTTTTATATTGCAAGGTAAAGATTCTACAATAGTACCAAGAAAACAGAGAGAATCCCAACAATCATATGACGCCCTATGAGCAGTTGAAGTTGGACCACAATTGTTTGGAGACAGGTTGTCTCACACCAGACAACCTGTGCACTCCCAGTTGCAGTTGTATATGGTTTCACAAAAGTTGAGGGAGTTGCATGCTCAACCTGTAGGCAACCAACTGATTGCAGCAACTACTTGCAATTGGTCTCAGGCACCAATAAAGTTCAATGCAATCACCAAGCAACCACAGATTTTTCTTAGGCGCAAGGAGGTTGCTGTCCTATTTTCACTCCGCCGATCCTACCGATCTAGTGGTAATTCAACTATATGGTTTGTAATGTTTGCATCAGGGGCAGAGAAGTGATATTTGTGAAAGTCTTAACAGGTAAGTTCACCATGCAAACATAAAAAAAAAGTTATGAACAGATAAACATCATAAGGCTGCTGTGTACACCTTAAAAACACAGGCATCCTGTAATATGTATATATATATATATATATATATGTGGATGTTGGTTCTCAGGCTTTCAGTAATCAGATACACATTTGTTTAATTCAGTGCGGTGCTAAGAAATATTTCTCTCCCTTTTAGAGACCGCCTGAGTGGATTACTACTGTTTGTGGAAACGTCAGCATTTTCCATCTGTGCAGCAGTTTTAGCCATCATACCGCGAATATTTTCACCAACAGCATCACTGTTTTAACCACGTTTGCTGGGTTGCCTCTGTGGGCACTCGGCAGATTGCTTTATCCTGTCAGGTTTTCACAAGGTTGCGTTATCTTTGCATTTCACTGCAACTATAAGCACGTTGTCTGGTAGAGAGTAAATTAAAATTTCTAAAACACAGCCAAGTGCTGTCCTGAATAGTGGATAATGGATTTCATGGTAAATTGGTTTAAAAAAACAGAACCAGTGATATGGTTGTGAATCATGTGTTTCTATCACAAATGTAAGAAGACTTTTCACCTGTGTCCTGTATTTACACACTGAAATATGATACATACAAAGTGTTGGTGAAATGCTTCTAGCACCTTTCTTCTTCCTTCCTCCATGTTTCATCACAGCTCTGTTGTAACCTTTTCTTGCATCTCTTCCTGCCCTCGGGGCTTAAGATAGACTAACATGCTTAGGAAAAGGTTCAGAGAAGAAGAAAGAACAAAAAAACAAACCTCATTGTGGTTTTTCTTACAATCTGTCATTATCATATAACTGTGATCTATACATGGCAAATGAGCAAATCATGGAAAATCAAGCATTATGTTGTTAAATACATGCAATATAATCTACTAAAGAAATAAAGCGCTGCTTTACTCTAGCGCTGGGCTTTGGGAGAACGAGCAGACAAAACAGCAAAGACTCAGTGAGGACATTGTGTGGTTTGCTAAGCAAATGTCAACCTCTGTTTCCACGGGATGCTTGACTTTTCAAACAACATCCACCACAAGTGCACATTTTTCCACCATGAAATTCCCCAGAAAGAATATTTTCCCCCTTGGTTACGTCATAGCAACACAGCCAGAATCCAGTCCATCTCTATAACAGGGTTCACATCAGATGAACATAAATGATCAAATAAATATTTAACTCTCTAAACAATTCTAAACAGGATCCCAAAAGCAGAATAAAATAAGCTATGTCAAAACTAAAATACATTTAATAACAAATGAAAACACGGATCTGCAAACACTGCAATCCTAAAATTGAATTTCTGATATAGAAAGGGTGAAGTATTAGTTCAGTTAGAAAAAGACAATTGCTGTTTTCTCCCTACTATGGGCATAGGCATTATAAAAACAGCACATAACACAGCATGGAAAAAGAAGTGGTGGAAATGGGTTGCAAAGGGGCTTGCAGTAGTCCAGCAACTGTGATGTTTGCTTTGAGAGTGTTGGTGAAGGAGTGTAGCGAAGGTCACAAGGAACTGCTGTGTGGTTTTGTGGATCTGGAGAAATATGATAAGGAAGGACCTGTGGTACTGCATGAAGAAGTCAGGGTGGTCAAACAGCATGCAGGACCATCCAAGGTGCAGGGCATGGATGACAACAGTGAGACAGTGGCTAAGAATGACAGATGGGTTCAAGGTGGGGGTGGGATTACATCAGGGATCGGCTCTTAGACACTTCTTGTCTGCAGCAGTGATGGACAGACTGACAGATGAGATCAAGCAGGAGTCACTGTGAAGTATGGTGTTCACACATGGCACTGTGATGGGTACTGAGAATATTAATCACAGTATTGATTCAGAGGTATGTGCTGGAGAGAAGAGGAATGAAAGTCAATAAAAAGAAAATAGAATACATGTGTGGGTCAAATTATAAATTTGTTGCTACTAGAAAAGTCGAATTTAAGATCAAAGTGGAGGTCAAAAGGCCAGACAGAGATAATATGATACCGTTTCAGTAGAGTTGAGGAAGAACATTTGCACTCACCCTCATTTGCGTCATTTTAACCAGAATTCAAGTGTATTTTAGTCACTTCTGTTTTCGGTTAAGAGCGTTGGCCCTGGATCTGACTTAGCAGCAAACCATGAACACTAGAGTCAACTGACAATTTTAAGCATGAGCTTCAGTTTCAGTGACCCAAATATTAGCGGTTTTACTACATTTATTTCAGAAGACTTCAGAGCAGTCAGTACAAAGTTAATCAGTCTCGGGAGGTTGCCCTTGTTTATCTGTTTTTATCCTTCCTTATTATACTGTGGTGGGTTTTATGGTAAATTTACCGCGGATGCTCTTTTTCTCTTTTTCTGTTGATACTGCTGACCCATGTGAGGGTCAGCTCTATGTGGGTGGAGGGGTTATGATGGTGCAGAGACATCAGTGGGTCCAGGAGTGGGATGAAAGAGTCCTTTGACTCTCCCACAGCTTTAGTCGCATCTTTGAATTGATCTGTCCTGGAGCATGAATCTAAGAACAAAAAGAGTCTCGCCTTTTAGTTTGCTGTCAGCTAATAACCACAAACACCAGCTGGGAAAAATAATTCTGCTTTACCCCCGAGACACCCCAATTTTGTTTACTGAAGGAACACATGGAAAACAAGCAAGTTATTAACATATCAAATGGAGTCTGAGTCGTGCTGATTTAATGAACTGCCGTCTGGATGCTGAAATAAAGGTCAAACCCGAATTAGGTCAGAACCACGATTAATGAGT